TCATCATATATATAATATGTTATACCAAAATGCGTAAATAAATCACAATAAATATTTGTGGTATAGAAATATGCGGTATCGGTTTGCCGCATGAAGTATGATGATATGACCTTGAAATTCTTTAAAACAAAAATTCTGTGTTTAAAACGCACTCGTGTTACTTATGATTGAATACTTCTGGTATTAAAGATCTTAATTTTTATTTTATCAGCTTTAACATACCTGTAGGTATAGATTTTATGAATAATTATTTATTTTAGTCTATTCTAATTCTAAATTTTCTGACTATTTTAATGTCCTATCCTGTCCGCTAACTAAGGCACCGGGTTTCGACAGCGCACTCGCGACCACCGCTAACGAGACTCACATTCAGTCTCATTCAAATTAAGCTTTTGACTGAAAAAATTCGTCGCATTTAGGCCGTCTATAAGCGACGATGCTAAATGAGAGTTGGGTTTCAGTCTAACTCATTTTTCGAGGGATCAATTTGGACCAAATTTTTCTCAATTCCCCATGTCGTCTGTATTTTAAAACACCTACTTAAATCTTTACTAGTCGTTATTCTCGTGGTTTTCTACACACGTTAGCTTGAACGATATCTTCTCCATATTGTTCCAACCGGCGCGTAAGTTACCCATTCCATATAGGATATATCTACCTCTACAACGCCGAATCCATTTCTTCCTGACGTTTTCTCTCCTGACCTCAATTTAGAATACAACGGGACGATTTAGTTTGTTTTTAAAAATGAATATTTATTTACTAAAAAAATATATAAAGCTCAGTATATTTATTTAGTCCCAACGTTTTCAGTACTATTTTACTAACTTGGAATTAAAATGAGCGTCTTAAGGCCGAAAAGCCTGGCTTTTAATTTTGTACCTAACATTCTTTTAATTAAAGAACATTTTTAATGAATTTACCTTTATTGTTGCAGCACAACGTAGGTACTTTAGGAATTTCTTTTTTTACTTAAAAATGCTTGTTCTGTATTCTTATGTTTCGTCAGATTTGGCTATAAACGAATTGACTTTAAAGTAAAGAAACTTATTTATTGTTCATTTTCAAAATCTGCAGGATTTAATACTTAAATCCAATTTTAACAAAATATTATTTTGTTATAATAATTATATGCACGTGGTTTTACAAGTCTGGTAATAATTTTTGTTTACGTGTTATTCCAAACAGTGCTAGTAAGATTTTTATATCTATACTCGGATTTGGGATCTTACGGCCCGGTTAATCGGAATACAGAGCACAAAGCTCGACTGCTACCTGGTATCGCCGCGGCTGGTGCCAATGCCACGGCTACTAGCGGGTTGAGTAACGCTTGCGGGTTGGTCGAATATGCGATCAGCTAGCTCAGCCACTTCTTCAACGCTCATCACGGTTTGCTTAGCGATGATGCGTTGCGTACGGTTTCCAGGCGGCTAGTCGAGATTGTTCATATTAAGTCTTTCAAGTGGTTCAAGTGTCGCAAGAACTGCAAAAGTTTGCAGTCACCGGGTACTTCATATATCAGCAGCTGTTGTAACTTCTTTTCTCTTGACGCAGGCAACCTTCCTTACTGAGGATGGTGGAGCCACACCTTGTCTAAGGCTGTAGGGACCTCGAACAACGTTTTTGAGAATTCTGTAACGTTATTTATTTATCAGTGATTCAGTTTCTAATGACATTGTCTTACCGTCACGGCAAGTCTAGCCACAAGCAGAAACACGCTTAATAATATCAGCAGAGTAAGTTAAGCTTTCTTAAACTAAGCTATCACTTCTCAAACCTAGTTTAAACGGAGTTGTATTCAAAGTGAAACAAGTAAGTAAACTCTTCAAAGATAAAGTGGATGCCGCTCAATGAATAAGACATGAGTTGAAACGAATTAATATTAATGAGCTAGTTACAAGATGTTTACAATTGTTTCGGCTAAGATCACATGCTATACGTATTGCGATTGCCGTTTTAATTGTATTTTGGAGTTCCGAGAAATTCTCATAGTCTAATTAATACAAAAATGAATTCTTAAAGAATTACAGATCTGTTGTATTTCAAAGTTTCACTCCAATTTTTTATATATTTGATGTGCCGAGGTTTGACATTTTATATGTTTGGTTTGACTTTTAACCGTTTGTTTTTGTCTGTTAAACACATTCCCATGATCTAATGAGACGGTAAGGAGACGCAACTGAAGAAATAGCCACACGCTTCATAATCTACAAACTAAAACAAGCACATCTGGTGTCGAACCGAAAATCTTGTAATTTACAGTAATATAAGTTTTTAGATTGTGATTCAGTCCTCCTTCAAGTTTCAAGATAAATCCTTTGTCCACTTCGTATCGGACTAATGTTCGTTGAATTACTACTGATTTGGTGTAAAGGCGACAAACCGGAAAGTCCTTGGTAAAGATCCATCCTTTGTGCTAGTATAGCAGGATATTCAATTCAGTTGTTCAATGTCCTTTATCCTAGAGTTGGTCAAATAGATTCTTTGACTGCTTGGCCGAGTTTGTGAAATACATAATTTAAAAAAAGGAATCTACATTTTTTTTAATATACTTTCTGGTCTAAACACAATAGGAAAGTTACGACGTACAAACTAGTAGTGTTTGCAGGTGTGTCTATCAAGTCTTATACCACCTGCACTATTGCCCCATAGTATGCATGCATAACGTTTTCATTAATGGTTGTTATAAGTAATTGATATAGTGGAAGTATTTTTAAACGTTGATGTCTTAATATTCTTATTAGTTATTGTGATTTTTTTATGAATAAAATTATTTGTTTGTTAAACTTTAACAAGATGGCTCAATGATTTTTAGTATTGGAGTTGCAGGTTCAAATCTTACTTTAAAAAAAAATATTTTTCCAACATCTTTCGATTCTTTCCAACATTCTATCATTTCTTTAGATAATATTCGTATTGCACGACTGTTTTAAATGTTTTGTCAACAAATTTTACCCAATCTGTAAACTGATTAGGTAACTTTATTGGCGTTAACATTGGAAAGAGATGGAATAAGAAATTCATGTTTCTCATTCTGTTTTATTTGAAGCTCTGGTACATAGATATCATTAAAATAGTACAGACCTTTTAAATTTAGCCATGACGTTAATAGGTTATCTCACGAAGGGCTGATTTTTCAATGCTCAGTTAAATTTTATCAGAGGAATAACTTTCAATATTTTACAATTCTTCCATACTAATAACTGTCAAATGTCAATTTTATTCTACAGTTAGAATAACTGATGACTGAAAAATCGGCCTTTAAAGGCGAAAAGATTTTACGTTGAAGTAAAGAGTTTATTCATATTATGTCTTAACTTAAAAGACAGGAGGTCCAGTTTTGGTACTAGCTTTTGAATCCTATTTTTCTACTATTATATTCTTCTAATATGATAAAGGCGAAAGTTTGTGAGGATGTTTGTGAGTGTGTGTGTATGTCGATAATACAAGATGTTTAAGTCGGAGCCAAATCAGGCCTCTGAGACATATCTTATCTGGCCGTACACTGCCTAATCCATAGAAGTTACACAAAGATGATTCTGTAAGATTGTTTGTTTTGATTAGTTCTAAATAAAAGCCTGCGACAGCATATATCTTGTATGTGGAAGTCACTATGCCGATTTTTAGGAATATTAATTACAAGTTATCTGAAAACGGATAACTGACAGGTAACACCAACCTGGATGATTTGTAATTGTTATGGCGGTCTGCTTCTTTAGTAAATTTTGGCTTCGATGGACAAAAGTGACGTTCAGTGGGTTTCCAAGGACAAATAGTGGTATACATAGGTACATAATTTAATTGAAATTTCTTATTTTCAAAAAAAAAATCCTCAACGATATCGTTAAATAGGATGCCCAAAAGACTGGCAGCATTGCCTCGTTGAATGGCAATGCTTAACCTTTGCCCAAGGAAGTAGCTAGCCAGTCAGCCAAAATACTAGAGGTACTTTTTATAAGGCCAGATTGCACCAATTACCAAATTAAAACTCAATTTGTTAAAAAAAACTTTGTCGAGGTTATTTGCAACGTTTGCAATTACAAAACGGAGCGGATAACTTATCTCTTGGTATAGATTAAACTTTTGCTTTAAAGAAACGGTGGAGTAAGAAGAAACTTAATTAATTTTGCACTTCTAAGTGGTAGTCGTTCATTATTGTCTTGCAGTTGAGAAATCTGCTTGTGATGTAACAAATAAGTTTGGTAACTTTCTAATCGTTGATCTATTTATGTTTTAAGTGTTACACTAACTAAAAACTAAAATATTTACATCTTAAAAAAAAGCAATAGAAATGTTACGTAGACTTAACGCATCAAAAGAAAATTTTTCCTCATCGCTATCGTGAGATAGGGTGCCCAAAAGACTGGCAGCATTGCCACGTTGAATGGCAATGGTTAACCTTTGCCGAAGGTAGTAGCCAGCCCCTCGACCACCTGAAGATAACCATCTTCCTTACAATATCTTTGTAAAGATGACATGCACAAGGGCTCTGTTATTGTCTTACACTTAATTTGCTTATTCTTGTTCATATTATATGGGTTTAGGGATTTTCTTTTTTTGATGGATAATCATTCAATGACTTCTCCCGCCCAGGTGAGGCGAGAGGGAGTGTGAGACTCTTATTGACTAAAACTAGCCCGTTCCTACTCCTACACTTCGAGCCAGAGCCCCGGCAACCCGTTAAGTCCTGCTTGGCTCCGTATCGGCATCAATTCTATTGGGCCCCATCTGTGGGTATCTGATGGCTCCTTGAGGCTCGCGCAGAACGCGACGCGCCATACGCTCGGATCTGGTTCTGGTCGAGGGTCGTGTCACCCGTGATCGCCGTCCGCAGGCCCGTACGGCTTACGGGTGGCCGGTGATCGTCTCGCGATCCCCGACGCCCGAAGTGTCTCTCACAACCGCGCCTCCTCCTTTTAGCTAGCATGACTGCTTAGCAGAAGGAGGAGTGTAATAACACCCAAAACTGACTAGTCCACAAAATCAATAAAACAACATCAGTAAAAGAACAGATATTTATTTTCACAGAACAATATCTTAACAAAACACGTCTTCATGAATGAATGATCAATTTTAGGATACAATTTTCACTTTTAATAGTTCTTGAAATTCTTGCAGGCCAGGCAAGTTCTTCTTGATGTAGAAGTCTTGTTTTGAACATCTCTCAAACCAGGCCGATAATTTGGGGTACCTGGAAAAGACATAAGATGTTTTACCATTTTGTACCCCTTTCAACTAGCTGGTTAAATCGTAACTAATTGAATGCATATTTATACATGCTGTAATTTTAAATTTTATTATTAAGGAGCTTTCAGCTAATAAAACTATGATGCTAATATTACCAGAGCAGAAAAGGTTTTAGTTTTATGGAGATATAACAAAAGTTAAACATAATAACCAAATTAATGCAATGAAACCATAGGGCGATCTATCACGGCTTTACTTTACTTTCTATCAAAATACTTATATTTTGTGATAATTAAAATAATTTCATCAGTAATGTTGGTCGTGCTACGATATCGTAACCGATGATGTGTAAATACAGTTAAATCTTATTACATGAAGTACCTATACTGGACAATTTCCACAATCAAAAACGATACTTACAGGGCCTTATCTATGGGGAAAATTTCATTCAGAGAGCTGATGTTAGACACACAGCAAATGTCAGCCAGTGTTATTGACTCCCCTGCAAGCCAGGGTCCAGAGAAGAATTTCTCAATAAACGCATAACCCTCTTTTATTTTGTCTAGATTTTCTTGCCTGAATGCTGTCTCACCGTTGTATAAAATTGGAACCTGTAAATTCAAATTGATTTTAGTATGACTAATAACATAACATAACATCATACCTTTTATCCCCGAAGGGGTAGGCAGAGGTGCACATTACGACACTTAATGATACTGTACAATGTACCACTCACTTTTCACTATTATATTATAAGTCCCATGTAATAGGAGGTGAGCCCATTGCCATATATTGCGCACAATTCCAGACTCCGTGCTACTACTGAGAATTTATAAAATACCCAGTAACACTTTCCCCGACCCGGGAATCGAACCTGAGACCCCCTGCACGGCAATCGCACTTGCGAACACTCTGCCAACAAGGCAGTGTGACTAATAAATGCAAAATATTTTAAGTACCTACCTAGATTTAGATTATATCAACCATACTACTCCTGAATAAAATATTTAACACTAGCTACTGCCAGATACTTTGCCCACGTTTCCCTGATATAAAAAGTATGTATTACTTCAGAGCATAACCTACCCTAAATGTCGTGGTGGCCCGGAGGTTTAAGACGCCCACTTCTCATGCATGAGGGTGCGGGTTCGAAACCTACCAACGGCAAGTACCAATGGGACTTTTTCCGAGTTCTATGTACTTTCTAAGATTATTTAGACACCACTGACAAACGGTGAAGGAAAAACATCGTGAGGAAACCTGGACTTATAATTTCTAATTATAAGTTTGAAATCGCCAACCCGCATTGAGCAAGCGTGGTGATTAACGCTCTAACCTTCTCCGTGTGAGAAGAGGCTTTGCTCAGCAGTGGGCATTAATAGGCTGTTGATGGATGGATGGATAACCTACCCTTGTTTCAAATTTTATCCCGATTCCTTCAGCCATTTTGACGTGAAGTAACAAACATACACAAACACGTTTACTATTATATTAGTAAGACGTTAATGTTTTATAACTTACCATAGTAGTTTTCAATGCTGCAAAGAGAACACCATTATCAAAATGTAACCTTTGGTCCACAATGGCGCGTTTTTTGGGGTCCTTGGGATAGAGGGAATCGTCTTTTGCGTATTGGTTAACTAAATACGTCACAATTGCGTGGCTGAAATGAAATAAAAATAAAGAATTTAGTACTAATAACATAACATAATCGCCTTTAATCCTCGAAGGGGTAGGCAGAGGTGCACATTATGCCACTACAATGTAACACCCACTTATCACTATTGATGTTATGACTATGAGTCCCATGTAATAGGGGGTGAGCCTATTGCCATATACCGGGCACAATTCCAGACTCCGTGCTAGTACTGACAATTGTATAAAAACCCAGTAATACTTTGCCCGACCCGGGAATCGAACCCGAGACCCCTTGCCCGGCAGTCGCACTTGCGACCACTCGGCCAACGAGGCAGTCTAATATATTGACTAAATATTATTATATTATGATATAAGTGCCTATTATTAAATATATATAACTACATAAATATTTACAACTTAAAATTAACTACAGCTAAATTATTAAATAAAACGAAAGTAAAAAAAAGGAAATAACAAAAATTATACCCTAATGGCTGGCTATTTCTTGCCAGTCTTCTGGGAACGTTCCACTGTGATAGTGATGCAGAAGAATTTAGTTAGTTCCATAACTATCTACCTATCTATATAAATAAAGGTGAATTACTGTTCGTTAGACTCGCTAAAACTCTAGAACTGCTGAATCGATTTGCCTAATTTTGGTCCAGGCAAGGTTTAAAAGGTGAGAAAAAAATTTTAGACAGTATGTACGTAGTTTGCCGGGTCAGCGAATCCTAATCCTTACTAATATTATAAATCGGAAAGTGAGTATGTTTGTTTGTTCCGCTTTCACGCCATAACTACTATTACTTACTACTATTTACTACGGATTAAATAATAGGGTACTTTGTATCCCGGAAAAAATTGATATTCCCAAGGGAAAACAAAAATATTGGTGTTGATGGCGCTGTGTGTATTGGTGTAGATGGCGCTGTATGTCAATTAAAACAAGTCAACGAATTGGAAATCTCACAATTTAATCTATATCATTCATTTGCTGTTTTATAATATTGGTATCTATGTAGTAGTTATGCTTCTTAGCAATTGATAGCACTGGGTTTTTTTATGGCATAAGCCGTTAAATGAGCAGACGGATCACCTGATGGTAAGCAATCGCCCATGGACACCTGGAACACCAGAGGCGTTACAATTGCGTTACCGGCTTTTTGGGGTTAGGAGTTTGAGGATCGTTGGGGATTCAGGGATTGGGGAGATTGGGAAAGGGGAGGGTAATTGGGCCTCCGTTAACCTCACTCACACGACGAAACACAACGCAAGCGTTGCTTCACGTCGGTTTTCTGTGAGGCCGTGGTGTCACTCCGGTCGAGCCGGCTCATTGGTGCCGAAGCATAAAATGATAAATGAGTGTTTTAAAAACGTGGTAACGTTGTGTTTTGTAAATATTTTCGCTTTTAAATTTATGGTTCCTACCATTTTACATTACATAATGTATTTTATAAATTTTAGGTTGTTAAAGGTACACAAAATCATAGCGGCAACAATACTCAACAATTAGCAAATAAATTATTGTACGCTGTTATTTCAACGCTCGATAGATGGCGTTAGGATCTTAAACGGCAAAACGGAGGTACTTATTAACGTGATTTTTTAACTGAAGGTAGTTGAAGGGATGGATAGTCCCAAAGGCTACTTTTTATCCTTTTCTGACGCGGGGGTAGCCGCGAGTAAAAGCTAGTACATAATATAATAGATAATTGAGCAAAAAATTGTTATTGTAAACTACTCCAGTGTAAGAGGTGAAAAGTAAGCTAAGCTATAAAAATATTATATGGTAAGCTAATAGCACCATCCGCTGATTTTTATTGTACGTGACTCGAGTAGACTGACAAGTTTTTCTATGTGACATCCAAAAGAAAAGTCATAATTATTCTAAAAATATTTTAAATGAAATATTACTCAATATTGATACGAAGTTTACTAGCCTGGCATCATTATTTCACATCACATCATTTCAACTGCCTTAAAGTGGCTTCTACTGACCAAAGGCCTCTTCTCACACGCACTTATCTAGCAAAGAGTATACTTAACTTGTGTCGCGGTGACCCTGAGGTTTAAGACGCCTGCTTCTCATGCATGAGGGTGCGGGTTCGAAACCTACCAACGGCAGTACCAGTGTGACTTTTTCAAAGTTGTATGTACTTTCTAAGATTATTTAGACACCACTGACATAAGTCGAAGGGAAACATCGTGAGGAAACCTTAGCTTATAATTTCTAATTATAAGTTTGAAATCGCTAATCCGCAATGAGCAAGCGTTGTGATTAACGCTCAAACCTTCTCCGCGTGAGAAGAGGCCTTTGATCAGCAGTGGCCACTCATAGGCTGTTGATGATGATACTTAACTTACTCCGATCATTATTTGTAAATTGATCAACTCAAGGTCTATTTACCCAACACTAGATACCTAAATTTTATCAGCGGAACAAGTATGAATATTTGACAATTCTTCCATACTTAAAACTGTCAAATGTCAATTTTATTTTACAGTTAGGAATTATCTGTTGATTGAAAAATCGGCCCTTAGTCCAGTTTTTCTTTAAAACTCAAGTTGAGAATTATCTCTTAATAGTTGATTAGATCAATCTTTTGTATGACTGAGTGGTTGATATATTCACTCAACTGATTCAATAGTTAAGTGGTTTTATCTAATCAATATCAAATAATTCTAGTTACGAGTTATCTCAAAAATGTCGTTACTATATTATTTACGTGAGTTTATTTCACGTTTGTTTATTACATATTTTTATACGCTTAATGGTAGCGATTTTATTGTATATTTGTATGTCTTCGAATCAAATAAAAAAACAATATCTTACCTGTCCCAAATTACGAAATCGCCATCTTTCAACGTTGGAATTGTATGTTGTGGGTTCATCTGAAATGTTAAATGTTTAAGTATAAAATCATGATTTTATCAGTATTGTAATACCTACATCAGACTGAGGTAGAATATAACAATAAAATAATACTTTTCGTTTCATAAACCTTTGCTTAAATAAAATGAGTCGCCGTCGTCGAAAAGTACGTGTGCTGTGTCCAACCAATGGCTGCGATGTTTGCTATGAAAATGTCGTTTTAGCACCCGTACAAAGCCGAGACATGGATTTCACCAGTGAATTAAAACTATATGACATATTATAAGTAATGTAATAAATTCGTAAGTTACATTCTACAATAAGTTAATGGGCTAAATCCAGATATATTCAGACTCTTTTGCTGTGGTTTTAGCCATATTTCGCCTTTCAACGTAAAATATTTTACAGGGTTTAATAATGGCTAAATTGTTCTGTGAATTTCAACATCATACTTCATACAAATGTACCAATTTCTCCGACCATAAGATCCGATCCAAGATTCAGCACCTCGCAGTTGTATTTAATTCTATGAAATCGATTGTCATGTCTTTCATTATTCTACTTTTAACATAGTAAAAAATGGGACAATGTTTCTTTGAAGGGGATTTTTAGAAATAACTTTTTAAATTAACGTTGAAGATGTGTTAAAGGGGAAATTTATGAAAGTGTTTGTTCTTTGTAGACAATACGCAATCTTTGTTGAAAATATTAGTTTTTTTTTCAGTAATTACTTATTGAAATGACTAGCATTGAATGTTAGCACCTAAGTATTTTTTGAGAGGTAATTACCGTAAAATAGCGTAATCCGGAAACGTGACTACATGCTGGTGCTATGTTGACTTTATAACAAGCCTTGTAGAATTGACCAGGTTTTCAATAGTGACGGACAACGAAGGTAGTAAGTGGTGAAAGGAGCCAAACATATAGTGGCGTGAGTTGCCTTCGAGGAGGAGGCTTCTTATCACAAAGCTTTGCACCCATTGAATCACTGTAGAGGCGCTGGAAAGATATGGAGGCTCATACCAAGTGTTCTCATCTTAAAGCCTGGAAATCATGTCCTCCTCTACGTCTTTCATTTATTTTATTCATTTTATGTCCCCATAATAAATAAAAAAATAATTATCCGATTTAGTGCAGCCATTTATGTGTTATGCGCGTATGTTCATATAATTCGGAGATTTTATATACATACTTGTATTCCATATCTATCAGAGTTCTTTTTAACTAGTTGAGCTATATTTTAGGTGGTATAATTGGCGAAATAAGTGGGATTAAGTAATTAAAATCGTCATGGTGACCCGGTTGTTTGACGCCTCCTCGTGCACGCTGAGTTTTAAAACCTACCAACGCAACGGCAAGTACCAATGTGGCCTTTTCTGAGTTATATGTACTTCCTAAGATTATAAACTCACAAACGGTGAAGGAAAACACCGTCAGGAAACTTGGGCTATTAATTTCTAATTGTAAGTTTTATATCGCCAACCTGCATTTTAACCAGCCTGGTGCTTAATGCTCAAGCCTTCTCCATGTGAGACGATGCCTTTGGTCAGCAGTGGCTTATAGGCTGTTGATGACGATGTTGAATAATATGTAATTAAAAAGTTTTTGATAATTCATACCTTCAAGTATTCCTCACTGAAGTGCTCGCGTTGAATCAAATTCATTTGTATGTATTCTGGGTAAAGTCATACAATGACTTCTCCCGCCCGGGAGAGGCGGGAAGGAGTGTCAGATTCTTACTGACTAAAAACCACCCCGTTCCTACTCCTGCACTTCGAGCCGGAGCCTCGGCAACCCGTTAAGTCTTCCGCGGCTCCGTATCGGCATCAGCCGTTAGGCCCCATCTGTGTTGAACCTGAGTTTTGAAACCTACCAACGCAACGGCAAGTACCAATGTGACCTTTTCCGAGTTATATGTACTTCCTAAGATTATAAACTCAAAAACGGTGAAGGAAAACATCGTCAGGAAACTTGGGCTATTAATTTGTAATTATAAGTTTTATATCGCCAACCTGCATTGAGCAAGCCTGGTGCTTAATGCTGAAGCCTTCTCCATGTGAGACGATGCCTTTGGTCAGCAGTGGCCACTTATAGGCTGTTGATGACGATGTTGAGTAATAATTAAAAAGTTTTTGATAATTCATACCTTCAAGTATTCCTCACTGAAGTGCTCGCGTTGAATCAAATTCATTTGTATGTATTCAACATCTTTTATGCCCAACAGCTCAAGTACCATAAACACCGACCGGCAAGGTCCACTGGTATCTCTCTTGTACACTTTCATGCCCATTATAGACCTGGAAAATTAAATGAATAACTCTTAATTTAATTTCTTACAATATTGTCACTTTTTTAACTAGGATTTGATTATCGTTGTAATAGGATTGGATTATTATTATAACAGCGACACAATGTCCATTACATCATAATACATATATTATGTATGGTAGAAAAATAATATATATAAAAAATACCAAAGCCTAGTAAGATTTGGAAATATGAAATTATTAGTCCTTGTTAGTTTTTCTTTGTCTACCTGCAGGGCTGGTAAAAAAATCTAGATATCATCCCTACGACAACAAACAAATTAGTAATATGTACTCTAAAATATTGCACAAAAAACGACTTTAGAACTTTAAACACTTTGATTGCTGTGAACACAAATAAAATAAACACAATTGTACCGGTTACAAGTAGATCCTGACAATAATAATACACGAATGTATGTATGTATGTATGGAATTCACACGTCTTCGTGGTTATGTGTCACGATTAACACTGTAAACAAATCAGTGTTTTAACGCCTCTCGCACTGATAGTGGGTGTGAAACAGACGTAACAGACCAAGGTCGTTTTTTTATTTATTATGTACTAGCTGTACGTATGGCTTTGTTCACCTAAGCTTTGTAGCCTAAGCTTCATATTGTAACCTAAGTTACTCCTTATTATATCAGCTACCTGCCAATAAAAGTCCCGTCAAAATCAGACCAGCCGTTTCAGAGATAGACAGCTACAAATTATTTTGTTGTATCAAACGAAATGAAGTCAAATCACTTTTATATTTGTTCGCATAGGTGCGTACAAATATAGGTCTTCTAAATCTAAATGATATATAAAACAGAGCGCTATGCTATGCCCGGCCGCGTACAAATTGGAATGATAAAAGGGTATGAAAATTAAAAATCTAATTTGTCCGTAAGTAGGTAATGAAAAAAATATTAGTTTTTTTTATTTTATTTTGTCGTGTAATAAAACAATACTTAGATAAAACGAATCAAGTTTACGAGTGGGGCTAAAACGTCATTACTACATAATTATAAAATGTACATAGAAGTGACGTCACGTGACATTTTAATCAATATATCGTCGAAAGTATTCGTTTCTGTTAGAAAATAAAAAATACGTGTCTAATGGTGAAATTGAAATAATCTACCAGATGGACATTAAAATAAAAATTAAGCATCTACCCTATTGCATGTATCATATTATGTATAGGTAGTATATTCCTATACATGTAGTATCTAAAATGCTTTTTTTTTTCAATAATACAAAGAGATACTCCATATTCATTTTAAGATTCAATACCACTATGGTCGTGCGGTTTTTCGGAAATATCTTAGTGAAATCGAATAGTTAAGGTTTGTACGTACTATGATAATTATGCCATTAAACTCACACTCTCATTACATGGGATTTATGACTAGAGAAATGTGGGTTCCTATATTGTATGTTAGCACCTCTGGCCTATCCTATATAGGGATAAAAACGCTGTTGTTGTGTATTGGACTGGACGCTAAATCAACGTTAGAATGTCTGTTTAAACTTGTTTTTCTATTTATATTTTTTATTATTGTATAGTTTTACCGGCCAGCCGCGACCGGTGACTTTTTGGACATAATTAAAACAGACTTCACTGGTTTTAAAATTGGTGTGTATATGTATAGCAAAATATTCCTTAATGTTTGATTTGTTTTTAAGTATTCCTGCTTTGCCAGACATCATTTATTTAGATATTGTATTCTCATAGATAAACTAAATAAATAAAAGAAAATATTGAAGAAACAAGAAGAATGAAAACAGAGAAAAATGAAACTGCCGATTACATACACATAATTTAATACCTACGGTCGAAATTAATCAATTAATTTAATTAAATAATCGATCTCAATATTCGACAGAAAATGTGAAATCAAATGCGAAAATGTGAACTCAAAGATTTAGAATTAAGACCAAATTATTAATTTCAAATGTAAGTACCTACCTACATATTACAGAAGATACTAAAAGAAATAAATATACTCACTAGTTGTACGTACTGTAGTATAAAAAATACACTTTTTCCTCAATTTAATGAAAAGATTGTTTTATTGATAATAATAGATTGCAAGTCACTCTTGTACCGGTTATGTTATCAACACGTTGAGGTCGAAGACTGATCTCTCTTCCACTAATCTCTTTTATTGCTTAGTATTACATATATTGTGCAATACTTGTTCAACATGTTATGATAATTAAATCATGGCTGCCGTGTGGTTTTGGTTTGACAACAGCGTTAAAATGTCCAATGATTTAAGCCGTTTTTCCTTGTTTTTTTTTTTTAAATATGATTTCAGTTTTTCTCTGTAAAAAACTGTTGATGTTAGGTAATTGTATTTGTAACGCATGCCTTGCATTTAAATTTTTTTTCTACCGATTTAGTTAGTTAATAGATTTTTTGATTTTGTTTTTTATTGATAGAGACGGGTACGTAGAAATCTCAAGTCAGATACTTGATGAAATAAGAAAGAAAAATTAAGTGAGTTGTCAATGTTGAAAAATTTTGGCAGCCTGTTAATGCACATAGTCTGAAATCTTCGGCATAATGCTATGAACAAAATATAAGGCACACTGTATATGTAATATTATTATAATATTATGATGTTTCAATATTATTTTTTTTGATAAATAATTGATAAGACTGCCTCGTTGGCCGGGGGTCGCAAGTGCGACTGCTGGGCAAGGGATCTGGGGTTCGATTCTCGGGTTTGGCAAAGTATTACTGGGTTTTTAAAATCTCAGTAGTAGCACGGAGTCTGGAAATGTGCCTGGTATATTTCCGTAGGCTCAGCACCTATTACATGGGGCTCATAACATAAATAGTAAAAAGTGGGTGTTACATTGTACACTGGCATTTTTTTTTTAATAAAACTGTTTTTGAGCACAATATTGTGTTCAATTATTTTTTAGGTAAACTTCAACAATACACACTAACCACTGTCTCACAATAAAGATCTTTGACTCTGACTTTGACTTTGACACTTACCAGAACCAGTTTGTTAAGAGATAGTAAAACAATGTGTTACTATAAGCAAGCATATTTAATTGGAACTTAAACGGCAGCTTAAAGTTAAATTTAATCTAACATAATAACAAGCTATAGTTTAAAAATCATACAATTTTCTAGCAATAACAAAAAGCAGGTAAAAATATAATTTCAATACGTTTTAACGCAACGTAGACACTTTAAGAGTACTTTATCTAGCAAATTGTAATCAATCAAATCCTTAATCTAAAAAATCTAATCAAAATCATTATAGTTCTAAATGTAGTAGTTATGATTGCAACATAAAATTCATTTAAAATAGCGCTAGTCTCCAGCATTTAACGCAACTTAAATTTTACCAGCTCTTGGAATTGTTCCAAGCCAGGGATGTTCCCCGCAACATAAAACTGTTGTTGAGAGCAGAGATCCTTCCAGGATACAAGATTCGGATACCTAGAAAGAAAACATAACAATATATTTATGTAGTTATATAAAAAAGAGAAATAAGAAGAGAATATAATGTGACTGCCTCGTAAAAAATTTCAGTAGGTAGGAGTCTGTGCCCGGTTTATGGCAATAGGCTCACCCCCTATTACATGGGACTCATAACATAAATAGTGAAAAGTGGGTGTTACATTGTACAGTGGCATTAAGTGCCGTAATGTACACCTCTGCCTATCCCTTCGGGAATAAAAGGCGTGATGTTATGTGATGTGATGTGAAAGTAATTTGCGCGATCAGTAACTGACATGTCTATTAAAGATGTCAAACTTAAATAGATAATCAAAAAATACTTACAAATCAGCATCAATAGGCAGAACCACATCCATAGAGCTCACTGTAGAAACACAGCAAATGTCTGCGAGTGTCACTTTATCACCAGCCAGCCATGGGGATGAAGAAGTTAAGAAATTCTCCAAAAATTCATACGCCTTTTTAATCTTATCCAAATTTTCTTGACGGAACGATTTCTCTCCCCAAAAAAGTACTGGCTCCTAGAAACAGTATTTTTAAGCTTAGTTTATACTTTAGTGGCGTCATTGTAGATTTATGTGATTTTTTATATTAAGATAAAAAAATACAAGCTTGCTCGCTGAATCGATATCGATATCGCTTTGACCCTAAAATATTACACGTATATAAGTTGTATTAGGTGTATTGCAGCCAAATAATTAAAATAAACGGCAAACGTCCAAACACTCAAATGATATTCAATTTTAATTCGCGCATAATTATAGTTATGTAACTTCAGATACTTAGTACCTAAGTAGCTTTTTAGCATTTTGGTGTAATACTTACAACAGTGCCCCTTAAAGACGGGAACAGTATTCCACTATCGAAGTGGAGTCGTTGGTCAATGATCGCCCTCTTTTGTGGGTCGGCCGGGTACAGATCATCGGTCTTACCGTATTTGGTCACCAAGTAAGTTGCAATCGCATGGCTAGAACAAATAAAGTCTGAATTACAAACCAATAAGCAGGGAAATGCAACTTAGGAACGTAATAACAATTGGTACTGATAGTTGTACCTATATTTCCTAACTTAATAGGGATGATGACAGGGTATGAGAATTAAAAATGTAATTAGTCCATCAGTTAGGTAATGAAAAATTATTAGACACGTATTTTTTTTTAGTTTAAAAAAAACGTTGCCCCACATTAGGATTTTCTCCTGTGTCGTGGGTGCATTTACAAACATACAAGTTCACATACACAATGACACCCAGACCCGAACAAACAACAATTTGTGGATCACACAAAGTGTTGTTCCGTGCGGGAATTGAACCCGCGACACGTATTTTGTTGCATAATAAAATGATACTCAAATATAACGAATCAAAGTTTAGGAGTGGGGGCTAAAACGTCATTTTTACGTACATATAAAATGTACTTATAAGTGACGCCACGCGACATTTCAAATCAATATATCGTCGAACCTATTGTTTTCCGTAAAAAAAATAAAAAATACGTGTCTAATGTTTTTAAACTACCAGACGGACATTAAAATAAAAATTAGTCATCTACCCTATTCTATATTTTACAAACATAATATTCTTACAATTTGTAAGGATAATGATAATTCATGATTGTCTCATAACTAAACTAACAACATTGTCAATTTAGAAGTATGTGATAAATACGTATATCAATAATGACACAATTAGTCAAACAATCAGATGCAAGGCAGCAGTGATTTAGTGATTATCAACGCTACAGTAAGTTAATGCTTCATGTGAAGTGACTATATTGCAATCATAGTGTAATATAATGTCTTTATTTAAAAAAAGGTACACAATATAATATTGTTATGACACTGAACCATTAACTACATCGTAATAAAATGTCATTGTCTGATGTCTGATTTGATAATAGTACACAAATCCTCAGAATTCGTAGTTTTACCCCCAACCGACGAAGTAGTTTAAAGTGTTATTCGTGTTCTTGCTTACATCTCGCTAATATTCGCGCTAACTATCCACTGTGTACTAGCAAGCAAGTATACATTTATATATTATGTATGTATGTAAGTATGTGTGTATGTGTGTATGTAGGTACATATATTGTACTCGTGTGTAGGTATACATTAAAATTATTTATGTATATCTCTGAAATATTGAAATATATTAGTTTATCTTTCATTTGATAAATAAAAACATTGCTTGCCTCTTGCACCTACCATTTACTCTTCTCTGCATCACCCAAAGGTCAGACTGGTAGAAAATGCCTGTGGCATTAAGTCCACCTATTTATACATTTTGTGCATGAAGCATATTAAATAAATAAATATTTTTACCTGTCCCAAATGTAAAACTCATCGTCGGCGAGCATCGGCACTGTATGCTGGGGATTCACCTGTAAATAAACAATATTACAATTACTATCACCATTACACTTATTTGGTTCTTGATATCTTTTTGACGCGCGACTTGTGAAGTCGATAACAAAATATACTTTATAATCCTAGTCAGATGAGTGGTTAACTCATTAAAGGACACTGTCCATGTTGCGTCATTCGACGAATGCTTGCAAACAATAGGCGGCCTACAAATGACAAATGCTTGCATCTTCCTTAACTACAATCAAACTGTCCACGACTTAGCAATGTTAAACCCGCCTATTACGAAAGAAGCATGCTTCCGTCATATAACATAATATGGACAGAATCTCAACATGGCATATTACAGCATGAATACAATATACCTTCAAGTATTCTTCCTTCAAATGTTCTCCTTCGAACAAGTTGACGTCAACCATTTGTACGTCCTTGAGGTCCAAAGCCTCTATGGCCATGAACACAGACCTTACTGGTGGACTCGCATCTATCTTGTACAGAGTTAGCACCATTGTTGACGAACTCTGGAAAAAATGACTTTTTAACCAACTATTAGTATATTTTTGTAATAACTATCGTGAGACATACTAAATTAACTAAAAATCGCGGTTTACTGACGTGAATATACTGAGAAAAGCTCTACTAGTTTCGAACCACAGAGGGGTTCTTCCTCATGAGCTACGTGCGCGGTGGCGGCGATGTCGCGCAGCCTACTGACATCGTACTGACTGACATACTATTACTAGTTATACATATCGCACGGAGCAACTGTTTGTGTGATACTCAAATTGCTGTTTCGGGTTTCGGTGTGAATATATGTGAATTTGTATCTTTGTAATACCCACGTACCTACGCAAGTGTTTGCAAGCGTACATAGGCCGCGAGCTTCATTTGGCGAAACCTTACTCTCGCTCCTAAACAGTATCTATTATTTGACAGGACACTATCACAAAGACTTGTCACATCTTGTTATTAAATATTTTCAATTTAATCAAAATAAATATACCACCTTTAGATATTTTATTTTTAGTTATTAAATATTTTCAAATTAAATCAAAATAAATATACCACCTTTAGATAGTTTATTTTTCTCCGTATTTTCCTTTAATTTCTCGGCTAATGTACGTTGTGTGCTGCAAGCCTTATATTAAATAATTAGGCCGCGGTAACCAGTTACCATCAGGTGGGCCGTATGTCTTTTTTGCCACCGTCGTGGTATAAAAACAACAAGCAGAAATCACAGTGTGGAACAAATTTTAAAAACACTAGATTATAACCGGTGCGCAACTGTTTATATGCACATAAAAATCTGTTTTACAGTAACAATAATTTACACTAAAGCTAAAACACTCGAAATAGTAAAGTAATGGAACGGATATTCGTGATAACGTATCTTAACATTAAATTAATAATACCAAAGAATGACGGATGCTGCATTGCGTTCAATCAAACACGCTTTATGCTCACTCATTTAAGAAACACAAGAAATAATGAAGAAGAACAGCTACAGCCGCCTGTTGTATTATTTTGAATATAAATACCTATAAATATTTTGCACTAAAATTAATTACACTGTGTCATTAAAACCAAAATGTATCCACACTATTTAGAGCATCTATTTTGTTTACTTAAAGCTTTTATTTTTAATGGATGGTTTACTTATTGTATCTTATATTGAAATTTTTACATGTATTTGATATTTAGAAAAGAAGAATGTTATGAAAATAACTTCAATCAGTATTTTGTTTTTATTACTTGTTAATATCTAAGCATTTTTAATTCGACAGCTTCAGAATGTAGTAAGTAATAATGTTACAAAATACCTTAGGTCCAAGTGTTATCAAAGTGTTGGAGAACGCGGTCACTCACACAAGCGTATCGTACCAAGTTGTGGAGTAGAGTGCCAACATTGAGGTCGTAATAGCCGGTTCGGCCATAACGCTATTAACAAAGCAAATGTGGATGCGGCAATTAAATAAGATATATTAAAAAAATATTGGGCTTTTGATATGGTATTTTTTTAACAAAATGCAAATTCTCTTTTAACACAAAGAAAACTCTATTCTCCCATTTTTATTCTTTTTTATATATTCGATGGAAGTAATAAAACATAAATTATATAGAAATATCAAATTATACTTTTTAAAACCCAATGTACTACCTACAACTTTATGAATTATTTTTATTCAATTGAAAAATAATAATTACAGCACTTTTATTAATTATTCCACATTTTAAACAAAATTTTAGTAGTTAGCTACTAACTAACAACTTAATAACTATTAGTAACATAATAACATCTATGAATCTCGAAATACAAGGAGTTTAGGAGTATCGTTTTCGAAAGTTATTTATAATATTAATTATACTTTTAGCTGTCATCATCCCCATTCACAAAGTATTCTTTTCTCACATCTATTGGCTATCCACCTACGTACTTGGAGGCGTATCTGTGGCATACATTACCATCAGTTCACGTCAGTTCTGACAGTAATCACCGTTATGCAAGGCCAGGTACCTAGAAAAATAGTCGCAAGGGAACGTCCTTGAATTATTGACAAGTTTTAAAGAAATTTTTCTTTTGTTTTCATGTGCAACAGAAATTGAAGTAAATTAAAATATCGAGTGTTCATAGTTATATTATAATATAACATAACATCACACCTTATATCCCCGAAGGGGTAGGCAGAGGTGCACATTATGCCACTATACAATGTAACACCCACTTTTCACTCTTTATGTTATGAGTCCCATGTAATAGGGGGTGTGCCTATTGCCATAAACCGGGCATAATTGCAGACTCCGTGCTACCATTGAAAATTAAAAAAAAAACCAGTAATACTCTACCCGACTCGGGAATCGAACCCGAGACCTCTTGTCCGGCAGTCGCACTTGCGAGCATATTCTGATTGAGTTAGGTATACCAGGTACAAACATTTCTTCTATTTGAAAAATGTCTTATAATCTGGGCAGTATGTAACTAAAACATAATGATTTTATTATATCTAAAGTCTTTATGATGTGTCCCACTATGAGATATCGTTTTAGTATTGTCTTGCAATGGTTGAAAAGTTCTTCTTTATTGTTCCAGTTATATTTAATTTCGACTGGCCTGAGCTTCATTTTGCGAAACCTTATTCTCGCTCCTAAACAGTATCTATTATTTGACAGGACACTATCACAAAGACTTGTCACATCTTGTTATTAAATATTTTCAATTTCATCAAAATAAATATACCACCTTTACATAGTTTTTTTTTCTCCATATTTTCCTTTAATTTATCGGCTAATGTACGTTGTGTGCTGCAAGCCTTATATTAAATAATTAGATTAAATAAATAAATTTCTTCATTAAAATAATTATAGGATCTGATTGCACTGTTTATGTGAAAGCGACAGATGTACGGCAAGTTCTTAGAATTAAATACCAATGGTAGATTCCTTAATAATATGCAATTTATAATTACTATTTGTATTTTATAATTACTATTTGCAACAAATTTAATGCAACTGCAATTAAGGATGTCGCTATAGAAACATGTAGGCAAACATTAGAAATTATTTAAAATAGACCTTACGCCACACCTGGCTTCTCCTGCAAAGAAATTTAAGTAAAATAGACGGTAATGAGTACAAATGTTATATTAGGGAATATATTGTTCTGAGTTTTTGATAGAAATTCATCATATTACGCGTAAAAATGTCAAGTGGAGACTCGCCAACTCACCAACCGGGCCCCGGGAATGGACAACGAGAATGTGAGTGGCTGAAGGGTTAAGAAAGTACCACCGCTTTCTACTCAGATCATCTGCTCCAGCCGAAGCCTCCTCCATCCCTGGCCCACTCACGACTTACGAATAGTTTCTTACGCTCCTTGCAGGATCACTGCTCTCGTGAGTTCGCGACTCCACTCTGGACGGCCAATGAAGGCAAGCCAGAGGTGGAAGATCTGTTCCTTGTCATCGTTCATTCCAGCCAGCCAATTAAGGCAAGCAGGAGAATAAGGAACGGTGATTTCTCCCAGGAGCACTCGGGATGATAGTAGGTAGTCCGTGGGGTTGTTAATACCCGTCACCTCGCCTCAAGGTGCCCTGCGGGGTCATGAAATATAGACAGCATACTTTCATGGTACGCAACGAGGTTATTCCTTCCCTCTGTAGCACCGTAGTACGAGCGCATGACGTTCTTATTTATGGTTTGAGACCATATCATGCGCTACATACAGCCACCGATAGTGGGGACCCGTCCCGGGGCCTGTTGAACCCTGGCTCCCAAGCCTGTCGTTGGCCGGCCTCTCCCCGGCCGACGTATAGGTGTCGGCGACGTTGGCGTGGAGAAATAGTCGTCACTCGAGCTCGACGCCTGTTCTGTCACCGGTGATCCTATGTATGGGGCTGGGGTCTGACGACGACGGCGAGGTGGAGGCGACGAGTCTGGAGGTGGTGGGGGTGCATCTCGTGCTGTTCTAGCTCTCGTCAACATCAACGTTATATTTTAATTTTCTGCTTCATTTAATCTTTCTTTTGTAGTCTGTCACTGTCATTTTTCCTTTTTCTTCATTTATTGTTTTTTCAAAGCAATAGTGCAAAGTTGTAGGTGTTGATTTTATGGTAAGTATAATATTATATATGTGGGAGATAAAGTTATTTGATATTTTCTTTAGTAGAAATGTCACAATTATTTTTGAACTACCTTTGGTCTAACAATATTTGTGTTAACTATTTTCTTCATTTAAAAAGGGATGTACTGTGTTTTCGACGCATCAGACGCTGTCCAGTAGTGGACACGGCACCACGAATGCTCTGAACTGTCGGGTATGTTCTCTTGTTTTCTTGTATAATATTTTTCCTACATATTGTTATAATTATAATGTTATGTTATATATCATTACAATGTGTACCTGAAATGTTGCTAGGTTAAGTACTATGTGATTTTGCTTTGCTTGATAATAATTATTTACTGTTAACCTGTAACTACCTACAATATTTGAATTTAATAAATGTGTTATTGATTTAAGTGATTTGAATATCACTATATTCAATATACAAAACGTATTTATGCTTATTATTTTATCCTGAACGCCCACATATAAAAAGGTTTTGTTATTAGTTTTATCTTGAATATGAGGAAGCGTGTACATTATTATTTTATAAAAAAAAAACAAAGAATCGGAGTAAAATTTTATAAATCCGTTGACATTTCGTGGTGTTGCCAGATGATTATTATTTTAAACTATTATTGTTATTATTAAAATGGAAAGATATTTTATGGGATAAGTCAGGGAACGAGCAGACGGATCACCTGATGGTAGGCAATCGGCGTCGCCCATGGACACCAGACGCGTTACATGTGCATTACCGGCCTATAAGGGATTACGAATTTGAGGATTGTTAGGGATTTAGGGATTGAGGAGATTGGGAAAGGCGGTGAGGGGTAATTGGGCAAGCGTTGTTTTAAGTCAGTTTTCTGTGAGGCCGTGGTACCACTCCGATCGAGCTGGTCCATTCGTGCCGAAGCATGGCTCTCCCACACTTAAAGGTTAGTTATTATTTAGGTATAATAACAGTATAGGCTATGGTTTACTGAATTGTGTTAAGACGTAAATAAGTAGGTAGACACAAAAAAAGTGACGTGATTTTATAATTTATTTATGGCGTACTGCTAATACACTAATTAATATTAAAGGTACACTTTAAAATAAACGATTAAATAAATATTCATATAATAATGTTATATTCTTTCTCTTGGAATAAAAAAAAACAAAGTTGCGTTTCTGCAAATAAAGACTGTCTTGCTTTCTTTTATTTCTTAATAAAAACATTATCATAAGACAAAGTCGAAGTCAAACCATTTCTTATAAATAATACTTAATTAGGCACTTTTGAAACGTCAAAAATTGAATTGTCCGTCCGTCTGTCTGTCAGTGAAGCTAGGCGCTCGTTTCAAAGTGTAGTTTGGAATGGAGAAGAACGATCAAGAAACACTATCGTTAGGAACTCTTTAAAAAAAATTATTTTTTACGTATTAAGTAGGTAAGTTTATTAATATCTTACCTACAAATAAAGTGAAAAGAACAAATAATATTTTCAATTCATATTAATTATTTTACAATAACGCGAACTGATATCTTAAATTTCAGACGGGTGAGCATAAAGAATCGGCATCTTACGAAATGAGATTGATTTTTTGTAATTATTCAGAAAGTTTAATTCATATCTATATATATAAAAGAAAGTCGTGTTAGTTACACCACTTATAACTCAAGAACGACAGAACAAATTTGGCTGAAAATTGGTGGGGAGGTAGATTAGAACCAGGAGACGGACATAGGATACTTTTACCTAATACTTTTTTTTTACTTTTTACCGAAAATTAAGAACGGGACCGGGAAATATCGGGATTGCGCGTACTAGGTCGCGGGCAGAAGCTAGTTTATTTATGAAAATTAGGTAAGTAACAAACGTTATTTTGCTTAATATCTTTAAAAGTCAAAAGTCAAAAGTCAAAATCATTTATTTCAATTAGGCCAGAATGGCACTTTTGAACGTCAAAAAAATATATTAAAAGTGAAGCTATTTGCTCATTCCAAGGTGTAGATTCCTATGGAGAAGAACGAGCAAGAAACTCCATAGGTTACTCTTTTTCAATCAGGTTCACAATACAATTTACTAGTTACATAGTTTTGCTGTTTGGATTGTGCGAGAACAATGTAACACTAAAATCCAGTCAACGTGATCCAAAAAGAAAACCTTTTAGTATGTAATACGCTAATAAACACCCAATGTCACCTTTGCTAAAATCACGTTGAATTTGCGACGTTGAATATATATTATCATAAGAATAACGTTTATTTACACGAAGTATGGTAATTACAGTTGATAGTAATTATAAAATCTCATTCTGTCAACACAGAATGAGATTTTATAATTCAACATTAGAGATCAACATCTCATTCTGTGTCAATTTAACGTGCCAAATATATTTTCAGAAGCCGACGAAACTCCATAAGCCCTGGCTGGTTTCCGTTCTTGTAAAATTCATGTTCTGCACAACGTTTTACCCACGCACAGATGTTGGGGTACCTGTGGAATACAGACAGCAAAATATTTTTAACGGTCAAAATTAATAGATAGGTACTTCCCATGCAAGAAATATGGCATAATTAAAACCGATTTCAATCCTTGTTCTTTTTAATTAAAATGCGTTATTTTTTTCATCATTATTAAATAATTGCAGCTCTTCATTCAGATTCAGAAATGGTTGCATACCTTTATATAATATAAAAATGAGTCGTTAAATGTGTTGTTAAGCGCAAATCTCGAGAACGGCTGAATTGATTTCGCAATTAGTATTTCTTTGTTGGGTTAGGAGAAGTTTTATGTAAGAAAATATTTACAAAGATGGGCAGAAATAAATAATAATGAAAAAAATCTGATCACATACTGAGGTGTCTCAAAGATGAAATTCGACATTTTCTGCATTGGTTTGAAGTACTAATATTAACAATAACATTTGTAAACAAACCCACGACCAAGATAACACACGTATGTCTTTGTTCTACTGTTTTGGCTGCTTACTATTTCGGTGAACCATCAAGCGAGGAGTTATTATTTTAATGGTTATAAATCATCATGTTACGTGTCTGACCAGCGGTTGAGGTCAATCAAATAAACCAATATTTTGATTTGAGTACAGAATGTATCCAAAAAGAAAGACATGGTAAAAAATCCTGGGTGTCTTCAAGGCCCGAGTGAATAGGTTGCTTATGGGACGACGTACTCCATCGTAGGCCGCACCATAGCTTACCACCAGGCGAGATAGAGGTCAAAGGTCGACCTATAAAAAAGTAACTAATAATTTACTTTATTTTCAAAAAATAAGGAATTCAATGTTTATTTTATGTCAGTTATCTCTTTTATTTCCTTTTTAATTTTAGCCACTTTTATACCGCACAGCGTATGTTAGTATACATTGTAGCCTAATAAGGGTATTAATCGACCAGAGATCAATGAATGAGATCGATAAAGTTGAACAACATTTTCGCACTATCAGTACTTGGCTCATCAGTCTCGTATCCAACACATTCCATCATCCAACTCCACAAACCTCACTTGTAATAATAGTTGTTATCAACTAATCAAGGTTGATATTGTACGAATAACATGAGAAAAAAAATTATTAAGATTGCAAATAAAAATGTCTGCCTTTTCAACACCGTTTCGATTACATTTTGAATAGTGTGAATGTCCATATTTTATAGGATAAGCCGGGAAATGAACAAACGGATCACTTGATGGTAAGCAATCGGCATTGCTCATGAACACCTGAAACACCAGAGGCGTTACAAGTGCGTTACCGGCCTTTTGGGGATTAGGAATTTGAGGATTGCTGGAAAGATCGGGGATTGGGAAGATTGGGGAGGTGTTAATTGGGCATCCGCCGCCTCTGGTAACCTCGCTCACTCAACGAAACACAACGCAAGTGTTGTTTTAAGTTGGTTGTCTGTAAGGCCATTCGTGCCCAAGCATGACTCCCACACTATGCGTATCTTGGATTATTTTAGGCTATTATTTTCATTATAGAAAATACTTACATTGCTTCATCAATATGTAGTAACTCATTGAGTGTGCTTACAGTTGCTACACAGCTTATGTCAGCTACAGTGAGTTTGTTTCCAGCCAGCCATTGTGTTCCAGTCAAAAACTTCTCCGTGAAATTGTACGCTGATCTGATTTTGGCTGCACCTTCGGGTTTCAAAGATGTAGCGGTTCCGAAGAAAATAGGTTCCTGAAAAAAGTGTGGCATAAGGTTCTGTTCTTTGTCACTCTTTTTCAAGTTATAAGAATGATGACATCACATAGATATGGATAATTGCATTAATTAAACTGTCAAACACTGAGCGGTCACCGGTGACCGCAACCTATTGTTTTTTAATTATGTCTATAATGACGGTACTCAACCAGTTAAATGTAAATACCTCATAAAGGTGCTCCCTCGCCGGGAGCATCCGCGTGTAATATGAAGTTACAAATCTGAGCATTACATCAGTGAAGGAGGAGAACCGAGCATTACAATGCGCAATTTGTAATGATACAATGTATAATATCTTGATACAACTTGTAACATCAATGCGCTCCACGTCATAATTATTCATTCAAAGTCGAATCAATATGTTACATTACACTTACTCGTTAGTCAGGGAGGTATTATTGTAATGTAATGCTCAAAGTCGAATTATTAAGGACTGATGACTGTTGATGAAGCGAAAGAGGTATGTAAGAATCATAGCAATTGGCGTTCCATAGTCTTTGCCTACCCCCATGAGAGACAGGCATGAGGTCATGTTTGTATTAAATGTAGAGGTATTGTATTGGATAGAGATTGGCCCACTAACAGATATAATAATAAATTAATTACGAATATCAACACCGAGACAGACTTAAAAATAGTAACGAATGGAGTTTCTTGCTTGTTCTTCTCCACTCGAATCTACATTTTGGAACGAGCGCCTTCACTGACGGACAGTTTCAAAAGTACCAAATTATGGTTTAACTCGTCGAGTACCGTCATTATAGACACAATTATAGAACAATAGGTTGCGGTCACCGGTGACCGCTTGGTGTTTGACAGTTTAATTGAAATAAATGCTTTTGAGTGTGAGTTTGAATTTCAGTTTGACAACAGGAAGCTAAATAAACATTAGATTGTTAGTAATTAGTAAATTTAATATAATGTACTGAACTGCTTCTAGTTAGCCTTTAATACCCATAATAATTTCAATTATGCCTTGGAGACATTATTCGTGATGTTATCTCGTATCGTTAAAATAATTGTTTTCATTTTACAACCGATTAGTCATACTCGCGACAACGTACACACAGTATGTTTACTTAGAGCAATTTCGTTACAATTCCATTTACATAATTAAAAGTTTATTGAGTTTTAATAGCATTGTTTCAATGACAGGGTATGAATATGAAAGAATATTAGACACTACAAAACCTCACACGCCATAACATCTTTATCTGATCGATGCTAAGTCTTCTCGTATACTAAAATTATTCAGATTCGTAGAGCGTCTCTCAAATTCATTCAGGGTAGAAGGCACAAGGAAACGCGCAAGATTACCGATGCGATGTGCTGATCAAGTAAATACCACTTTGGCATGCTTTTGCGTGAGTGCACAAAAATATTGGTTGGAGGTGGCTGAACATTGTGATTGTGAGACGGACTACAGCAACTGATGAACTCATCTTGTTATAGTTAACCTTGTCCTTTCCATCATCGTACCACAAGACAATCGGCGAAGCGTCACCGATTCATGGTAGATGTTCTGCCCACACGCACGAAGCGCTTCGCTTCAAGCTTCCTTGTGCGTACTGCTAAAGAATGGAATTCTTTACCAGAGTCTGTATTTCCTGAAGGGGAGTCCTGGGAGTCTCCAAGGCCCGAGTGAATAGGTTGCTTATGGGACGACGTGCGCCATCGTAGACCGCATCATCGCTTACCCCCATCAAATATTAAAAAAAAAACCTCAACCACTCTGTCAAATGTGATATGGCTGAGAAGAAGAAAAAAGATCTCCCTTCATTAATAACTTATTGGTTATTTATCCCATGGTAAAATCTATTATAATCGCGCTATGTGAAAAACTTACGTCATTCTCCCTCAAAGCTGGGTAGAGGATACCGCTATCGAAGTGCAGTTTTTGGTCAATCATAGCTCTCTGCTGCGGGTCACTTGGATACAAATCAGAATGTTTCCCATACTTGTTCATTAAATATGTTATTATCGCATGACTGTAAAACAAAATGTGTTATAGATAACCAACGTAGGTATTTTTATTTTTTGTTTTCATAAAAAATCGTGTGTAAACTTACCTGTCCGATAGTTGGAAGTTTCCATCGGTTAAATGTGGTATTGTGTGTTGTGGATTTATCTAGAAATCAAATTAACATTGTAGTTAAGTGTTATTGCTTCTTATACTTTTTAATTTTCAAAAAATAAGACAACACGTAGAGTAAAAGAAATTAAGTCACGTCACATATATGTCCCGAACTACTGAGTGTCGAACCTACTTAAATAATAGTAAGCCATAGTAATACGTCTTTCACAATTTTTAAATTATACCTCTACAGAGCGTGTTTGGAAAAAAGTCGAGTCTAGACAATGTTTGTTAGTAAACGCACTCAACGAATGAGAGGTATTTAAAAAAAAACAGAAAATAAAAGTAATAATTTTTTACCTTCAGAAAGTCATCCTTAAGGTGATCATCCGCCAAGAGGTCAGTTTCAACATATTTCACATTATGCAGCTTCAACGCCTCGATTACCATGTATACTGCTCGTACTGGTGGACTGGCATCCATTTTGTACAATGTTAACGCCATTTTTGAGAATTTTCACAATTATTTAGTTTTTTAAGAAAATATAATTTCAGATAAGCGCTCTACACACGATATCTCTCGTTCCTAGACTAGGATTTAATGATCTCAGACACGCTATAATACTATTAAAGGACATAAAAATAAAACTATACACAGAATTAATAATAATCATTGGATGCGCTATTGTACAGATACGGAGAAATAAATTGCTCGTTCTTCTCCATAGGAATCTATACCTTGGAATGAGCAAATAGATACTTTTAATTTTTTTGTTGACGTTCAGAAGTGTCTTTCTGGTCTAATTGAAATAAATGATTTTAACTTTGACTGTGACTTAAAAAACTAAAACAATCTTCGTTTATGTTGAAATAAAAATAATAATATATAAAACAATTACTACTTAAGGAATGTTGAAAAATGTTTATATTAATTTCACTTATTAGTGTAGAAGTAGAAATAAGCTAGTTTTTTTGTCAGTAAGAGTCTAATACTCACTCTCGCCTCACCCAAGGCAGGAGGAATCATTGGATAGTTATCCCCGTTCGAAAACTTGGTTGACAGCGACCTGGACCTAAATCATCTGTGGACTTGACGCTGACATGATGATGAGTTAAAAACTGAGCTTCAAAGTGTAGAAAACTTTTAACGAAAAATTAAAACTAATCAAGAATACCGACTCCACACAAAGTACTCATTTCATTCAATTCGTACATGAAGTGCTTACTAAATACTTACAAGATAAAGGTAACTGTAATGCCAAGGCTGATACGGAATGCACCTGACCTGGTTGTATAAAACAATCAACATGGTTGCATCTCAATGATAACTTGAATATTTACTTACCCACGTACTCAGATAATTATTAGCTTAGTAAATAACTGAAAATAGGTACCTAGGTTTCCAGTTTAGGATGTCTGAAAATGTGCTGACCTAATTAAAAACCGTATACGTAGTTTGAACAAAATATTTAGTAATATCATTTATTTAAACCAACATAAATTGCATGTTTTTACACTTTAATACATCTAACGGAATTTAGCGGAACTAGCTGATCTGATGTTGGGATAGAGCTCCTCAAAGTAATGCTCCCAACCGGCAGATGTCGTTGTATTTACAACGGTAGGCTTGCTATTCCACACTAGATGGCTCTGTCAGTTTCTTTTGAAATCAGTTTGTTAAAAAGCAATAGGTTATGATTTAAAGAATTAAAGATGAATGCGTGCAAATAAAAAGATCTATGTAGCTAAATCTGACTTTACCTCTGATCACGTTGACGACGAAATATCACGTTGGTCGATTAGTCAGAGCTTGAGGAGGCGGCCTTAGTTCGATTCCTCGTCGTAAAAATGTATTATTGGGTGTTTTTTTTGTTTTGTTATGCAGAATTCTTGATAGTAGTGTAGTAGTAGCCAGTATTGAGTATTAAGTGAATTACTTGGTTATGAAATGATGAACTGTATGGCAAAGGGCAAACGCTCTATTATACGGGACTTAACAGGACTCATGACGAAACTAGTAACAAATGAATATTGCATATTGTACAATTACACCTCTATAGACCTTTTAGGGCCCTGTGATTAAATTTCTCAGTGTAACATAGATATAACTATCATACGAACGAAGTAGTTCTGGAAATACGATACCCTTTTTTCTTAAATTCATAAGTAACGTATCTCATCTCCTATTCGTATTGTATCCCAAAATCTATATATAAAACGATTTCGTTCAAGTTATTTGTGTTAGGACAACTTTTTATTCTTCAACAATGACATTATGATACCGACAGACATGTTATAATTTGTGGGAATTTCTTAAATTGTAAATAAAGTGACTGTGACTGCCTCGTTGGCCGAGTGGTCGCAAGTGGGACTGCCGGGCAAAGGGTCTCCGGTTGGAGTCCCGGGCCCGGCAAAGTATTACCGGGTATTTTTTAAATAATTCTCATTAGTAGCACGGAGTTTAGAATTGAGCTCGGTGTATGGCGGCAGGCTCGCCCCCTATTACATGGGATTCATAACATAAATAGTGTAAAGTGGCATTAAGTGCCGTAATGTGCAGCTCTGTCTATCACTTCGGGGATAAAAGACGTGATGTTATGTTTATGTGTAAAATAAAGTTAGATGGTAACGATTGTAACCATATTTGGCACCATCCCTCCTCTTTTCGTGGGCATCGTAATAGACAAGAGATTATACATTTGATAAAGACTCGACATACACAAAAAAGCACCATATCTCATTATATTAATGAAATTAAATGAGAAAGTTTAAATTATATTTTGAAGTGTGATACGTTTTACCTCATTTTGTTCTCATGAAATAATTAATCTTGAGAGACATTGTTAATTTGTGCGGAATTCAATGAGTTGGGTGTGGTCCCACTTATGATAAGTTCATAAAATTGTTTTGTTTCGCGTTTAATAAGATACTTTATTTAATATTTGATAGACGAATTGTTTTGCTACAGGAATTTAATGCTAAGTCTTCGTTTTTGGCGGTCGTATATTCACGTGTGGCCATTTTTTATTGCTTTTCGTCGTTTTTCTATAAATGTAGTGTTAGTAATTTAACTCGTCGAGTACCGTCATTATAGACACAATTATAGAACAATAGGTTGCCGTCACCGGTGACCGCTTGGTGGTTGACAGTTTAATTGAACGTATCTGTAATCAAACACCATGGTGTCGTGTTGTGGTGGCTTTCATGTGTTGTGGTGGTAGGTTTAAGACGCCCACTTCTCATGCATGAGGTGCGGGTTTGAAACCTACCAACCGACGGCAGTAACAATGTGACGTTTTCCGAGAACATCGTGAGGAAACCTGGGCTTATAATTTCCTATTATAAGTTTGAAATCGCCTACCGACATTTTGAGTAAGCGTGGTTAAATAATGCTTAAACTGTCAAACACCAAGCGGTCACCGGTGACCGCAACCTATTGTTCTATAATTGTGTCTAAACACAAACACAACAACAATCTGTGGGTCACACAAAAAGTTGTTCCGTGCGGAAATCGAACACGCTACACGGTGCGCGGCAGCCAGTTGCCCAGCCCCCGCACCAACCATGCAGTCAAATATTATTGATAGCACCGTGCACGTGATTATGTATTAATAGCTGCTTTCGATTAATATTATCCAAGAAAATTAATCTCGCTAACAAAAGAGCCACACCAAAAAAATATAATGATAAAGTGGGTAGAGTGTAGAGGAAAATTTAATTAATCCAGCAAGCAGACATTGACTAGGAAATTGCTCGTTAAAAGTTCCATGCAAATCGTATTATGATGCCATACTACACGAGAACCTTAGCTATAAGAGTAAGCTATAATGAGAAATTGATTGACGCGTTTACGCCGATAATACCTATGCATTTTCTTGATCACGTTATTTGTAATTGTTATTCGCTTTTGCCAGTGTCTTGGTCCGCGTTTTAGTCTGTGTATTTGTCTTCATCAATTTCCAGTTTAATATATCTTTTATCTTGTTTCTTAATTGTATTAATTTGGTTATTCATGTATTTCTATGGTAGGAAATAGGAAGAAGCAGGAAGCAATGGAAGTTCTCTGTACGTGAAATAACGTAAAACATCTTTTTTGGTAGGTTTATCAACAGCCATAGGATAATGGGAGCAAAAAACAGAACCACTAGCGATTTTTGCCTTTTACGATTCGACATACCAATTAATAAAATACTTGTATCAAAAATATTTATCAAGAAATGTAATAGTGGCTCCGTATTTTTGCTCCCAAATGTATTTAATAATACTCCAATTTAAGTACTAATACTAAGCGACCAAATTAACAAGCCCTTGTGTGTTTACAATCTATAAATTACAATGCAAATTAAATTCGATACGAAGTAATTAAACTAAGTCTAGTATTGAACATTTGACTCAATGTAAACAGTGCTTGCTAATTGAATTTGATAAATTAATCGGAGAAGTTTAAATGACGACTATCTGAAACTCCATACAATATTGTTCTAAATACAGTATAGAGTTTATCTAATGCCTAACTACTTATAAGAACTTTTTATATGATATACATATTTATTTCTATAAATTTAAATATAATTACTTGTAAGAATAGAACTAAACTAACCTATATGCTGATATAAACTATATAATAAATAAATGGGGCTAAAATAAATAAAACTAAAGTATTTACAACTAAAATTAACATAACAAATATAGGATAGGGGAAAAACAGACAAGAAAAACTAACTTAACGCATAAAAAACTTATCCTCGTCATTGATATATATATATATATAACTTATAAAATGAATATTAATAAATTATACAATCCTGTTATACTATTATAGTAACTAAAGAAATAGCTATAAAAATAAGTTAACTTAACTTCATTTCATTCAACTAACTCCGTTCTTTACGTCTGGAACTGGCTATTAATAAATCATTTCCACCTGAAAACTTTACGGAAGAAAATATCTGGAAAATGTTCTTTAATTTCTTGGCAAGTTTTGTGATCGGGTGCTAGAGACATTTTTGAACTATTCTGCTGGTTCAGTCGTTACAAGTCCGACGACTAAACTCTTGAGTCACCGCTTATTATAATATAATTTATTTTAATTATAATATTGTAATTCTATGTATACTAAAACTACTTCCGCGCGGTTTCACTCGCTTTACTCGGCGCCTATTGGTCCTAGCGTGATGTTTTATAGCCTATAGCCTTCCTCGATAAATGTGCTATCCAACACAGCAAGATTTTTTTTAAATCGGGCTAGTAGTTCCTGAGATTAGCGCAGTCAAACAAACAAATAATCAAACTCTTCACCTTCATATAATAAGTATAAAATAAAGTATCATTTCATTTCACCACCAAAATTCAAATCATTACACCTGAGGTAGTCTACCCTCAAAGTTCCGTATAAATTAGTTTCGAAAATAATTCGATGAGAAGGTTTTAGGTCTAATTCTGGGTGTCCTATTAACATCAAATTGTTTAACTTTGCTGAAGTACTGACCTCCTTTGCCCAAATTATGACCAACTTTGCTGAAATTAGTCCCCACTACTGTTTTGGTGTGATGCTTTCTGACAGGGGATAATATGGAGCAAGTTTTGAAATGGGTACACGTAATACGTCTCCGTGAAGTTGATCTTTAATGACATTAATAA